TTAAAATACATTTATTTCATACTAAGTATAGTTAAAATCTATTAACATATTTACTGACTTGAGACTTACTGATATAAAAATTATAATTAAACTTTATTTGGCGTACTACTTGTGCGCAATGCACATTTCTTAATATTAAGCTTAAAATGTGTCTTAATGTCACTTTTGATGAGAATTTCACTCACTCTCTCACACACACACACACACTCACTCACTCACTCACGCACTCACTCTCTCACACACACACTCACTCACTCACACACTCACGGACAAACGGATTTGGTCTTCAAAGTAAAACGTTACATTCATTACAGCAGCTGTTTTCTGATTGGACGTCAGCGAGTTTCTTCAGCCGTCTGATTGGCTGAACAAACGTACAACTCTGTATTTAAATGAACGACAACAAATAAGTGTTCAGATGTTCAGGTTTGAGGTACACAGATGCTAGTTTTGACGTTACTGATGACTGGGGAGGCTTTGGTTTGAAATGGTTGATGAATGTGTTTTTCTACGGTCGCTACACCGCGCTGCTTTGGTGCTTCGATGACGGTCGTAATGTGCTTGTCGCGTGCTGATCATCCGGTCGAACGTTGTCCTTCATCACGGCGAGTTTGTCGGAGAACCCTTCAGACTGCTGAGAGCCGCGTGGATGCGGAAATGAAGACGAGACTCCATCGAATAATCCTTATAATTCAACCTACAGACACACAAAGACACACACAGATTCTTTAGCATAAATTATTGTGTTGATTTTCTAGCAGCTGCCTGTTTACGGTACTTCGAGGTGGTCGATATGACCAAAAATGCAAACGTGAATAATGCACAGTTATTTAAGTTCTCTATGATGCTGCTTGCAATAAGCACTGTTAGAATTAAATGAAGAAATTCTGCATTTCTTTCGCCCTCTGTAAGGATGTGTTCAATCTGAAAAAGTGGTTTAATAAAGATTGTACTCATTTTGTGAAATCCAAATTTTGAGCACTCTTTACTGTACCTTTTATTTTTTTTTATTTTTTTACTTTGACTGAAATTTGCCAGTGGGACAATGCAGGCTGTGCCATATTGCACCATCAGCCCAGTTTGCTGTGCTATTTCTCAGCTGTCATAGAGGATGCATTAAACCAGATATAACAACTTAATATTAGAGTTGCTGACCTAATAAAAGACACATTTTGAACTTTTGTTACTGTACCAGTATATTTTTATGGACCCTTGAACTTGGCAATGTAGGACAATGCACATAAAGCCGTACTGCACCATCAGCCCATTTCCCAAGTGTTACAGAGGTTGTATTAAATTTGAAATATGCTCTCAATATTAGAGTTACTAACCTAATGAAATACCAATTTTGAGTACTTTTTACTGTACCAGTCTTGTTTTATGGACCCTTGAACTTAGCATGTGGGACAATGCACAATGAGCCAAATTACACCATCAGCCCAATTCATGGTGCGATTTCTCAACTGTCACAGTGGATACATTAAATCAGAAACAATTACTTTATATTAGAGTTACTGCCCCGACAAAATCCAAATTTTGAGCAATTTTTACTGTACCTATCTTTTTTTATTGACACTTGAACTTGGCATTTGGGACAAATCACACAGAGCCATATTACACCATTAGCCCAATCTGTGGCGCTGTTTTTCAGCCGTTTCAGATGACGTGTTAAAATTGACATAAGCTCTCAATACTAGAGTTACTGCCCTAATACAATCCGAATATTGAGCACTCTTTGTGGTACCAGTCTTTTTTATGCACCCTTGAACTTGGAATGTGGGACAATCTACAATGAGCCAAATTGCGCCATCAGCCCAATTCGCGGTTGAGTTTCTCAGCCGCTTCAGAGGATGCGTTAAAGACGACATTAAGCTTTTATACTAGAGCTACTACCCTATTGAAATCCAAATTTTGAGCACTTTTTGCTGCACCAATCTTTTTTTATGGACCTTTGAACTTGGCATGTGGGACAATGTACGCTGTCGTATTGCGCCATCAGCCCATTTCACGCCTCATTTTTTCAACTGCCACAAACGACGTGTCGAATCAGACGTAAGACCTTGATACTAGGTTTACGGTCCTAGAAAAAAAATCCAAATTTTGAGCACTTTTTACTTCACTATTCTTATTTTATGGGCCCTTGAACTTAGCATGTGGGACAATGCACAATTAGCTGTATTGTTCCAAAATCCCATTTCGCAGTGCAGTTTGTCAACCGCCACATTGGACGCTTTAAACCAGACATAAGGTCTTTATACTACAGTTACTGCCCTAACAAAATACACTTCTTGAGCACCATTCACTGTATCATTTTTTTTTACTTGACCTTTGAACTTGGCATGTGGGACAATGCACATTGAATTGTATTACGCATCAGCCCATTACTCAACCAAAAAAAAAATAGAACAGTAAAATGTAGTAAAAATGTGTTTTTCACAAGATCAATTGTTGGGATTTAGAAATGCTGAATTTCTCCATTCAGTTCTAACAATGCTTACTGTGAAGCGTTGTGTTATTTAAGAGATTAGGTAGCATTTAGTATTGCTATGATAGCTTTATGTTGTCATTTATTTCAGAAGGGACATGTACACGTCTAAAAGCGAACTCACTTGGCGTCCTCGATGAAGCGCATGGCTTTGACGTAGTTGCCCTGCTGCTTGTAGAGTAAACCCAGCTCATAGAGAGTGAAGGGGATCAGATAGTGATCGTAACGGATGAGCTTCTCGCTGCGAACACACACGTACTACTTGTGCGCAATGCACATTTCTTAATATTAAGCTTAAAATGTGTCTTAATGTCACTTTTGATGAGAATTGTCTTTAAATGCAAAATATTTAAAGTGTACCTGAAGTATACTTGCAACAGTTCCACTTCAGCACAAATACACTAAGCACATCTTTAACTGGACTTCAGCACTACTTCCGCACAACTGAAGTGCATTAAGCACAAAACTGTACAACTGCATGGCATTTGATCAAGTACATAAATATGAAAATGTATTTGTAGCATGAAATAAATGTATATAATGTACATATAACTGATATCAAGTCAACAGGAGTGTTTCCGACATAAAATATAGTATAGTAGTATATATAAATATACAGCTGCTTAATACACACAGCATATTAATAAGCAGCTGTGAAACACTTAATGTATAGTTATGAGCTCTAATAGTGGTTCACAAGCAGGTCAGTACTACATTACACAGATGACCCGAATAAATCAAGTAGATCTGAATTTAGAAGGAACATGGAAACTTTGCATTAACTTACTGTACGTTTGTACATTATAGATGAAGGCACCTAGTGTCTGTGTGTTACAATGTGAAATTATTCTCTGAAAACAAGTCTAGCAAATGTGTCAAAACAAGCCTAAAAAGTGCTTGTTTAATGAGAATTCATATTCACAAGCACAAATCATTTGAAACAATCAGGCAACAAGCTTCAAGAAACAGCCACAGAAATGTGCATGTGTTTGATTGTACGAAATCAAAAATCGGCAAACATTTCAGGACTATATACATAATGCATATTGTTATTTTTGCCTTGTTTTCCAGTACAAATATCTAAACATTCTTAAATAAAGATACATTTACTTAAAATGCAAGATTACTTAAGGTATTATATATAGGCTATATATATATATATATATATATACACATACAATTTAATAACATTTTCTACGATTAAAACAAGAAATATTATCTGAAAAATAAAGAAAAAAAGAACCTTAAATTTAAAGGGAAAACAAGTTTATTTTTAACCATTGT